ACCTCCCTGTTCACAACTCAGCACAAGGCAAGCTGAAGTTTCCCAAAAGCTCTGAGCCATTGGTGCTTTTGGCTCTGAGGTGGGGGGGGTCAGTGGGCTCATTGGGCTTGGAGAGGAGAAAGGGGGAGGAGGGGCCCAAGAACTCTTTTCAGTTCCTGAAGGAACTGTCCACCAACCCCACCCCAGTCTGTTTTCACAAATGTCACAACCCCTTTCATTCTTACCATGGAGTCTCTCGCTCTCCCTCACCGCACGCGCGCGCACACACACACACACACACACACACGCACGCATGCATTTCAAGCCTTATTCCTGGAATCCCCAAGGCCAGAGTCTTTTCAGTTAGTTTGTTTTCTGAGCAGGGAAACCTGGACAAAGGCTTCCCGGTGCACCTTTTTGTGGGTTTCTGCTGAAGCTGCCTTTTGGTTTGTGGAGAGGCGGTCAAGAGTCCCTTGCTAAGGAACACATTCAATTCCAGAATCCAGAAAAGGAACCCCAAAAGAGGTGGGGTTTGGTGACAGGCAAAGCTGAGCCTGGAGTCATAGTGACACAGGCCCAGCCCCGTCACTGCCTTTGTCTCCTGCGCAGCTGGCAAACATGGCTGAGCCCTGGACTGCAGCAATCCAGGGTCTGTGGCCCGGCTTCCCAGAAGGACCCAGTGTCCAGTCTGCCTGACTGCTTTTGACACTGTTAAAAGATGAAACCAAGTGGATGGATTTACTGGTTGCTTGGCAATAGACTCAGGAAGGATTCAGTAATGGGGACTGGGCTCCGACCTACAGGCATCTGTCCGAGGTCCCAGGGTTCCCCAGCAGCAGGAACCTCATCCCCTGCCACTCCCTGCCCTCTGGCTCCACAACATGCAGCCCTGCTACCTCTCAGGGACAGGCCAAGGGCCCCAGAGGAAGTTTTGGGGTGCAGCCATGGGGTGCCTCCTCCCACCTGTCAGCGCCACTGGATGCCCTCAGGCCTATTCCAGAGGAGGAGGCCAGAAGACAGACAAGCTCAGGGAGGACTGCTGGCCCTAGGAGGCTCAGCTAAGGAGGAAAGGGAATGGGGATCACCGGATCTCGGGTGTTCACCCCTTAGTAAGACCATCTTCACACAGTGTGAGCCACCGGGGCATTTGACTCCAAGGTCAGGGGAGCATTGGGCTCACTGGGCTAGGAGAGGAGAAAGGTCCAGGAGAGCCCCAGGAGCTCTTTTCAATTCCCTTCCCCCGCCCCATCTGTTTGCACAGACAGAGATTGGGCTCGGGATCTCTAGAGCAAGTTGTCAGCCTTAGGTGTGACAAGAAGCTCCCTGTCCTGGACAGGGCTTCCAAGGCAGGCCTGGAGGTCACAGGACAGAGCAAAACCCCCTTCTATAGACACTCCACAACACATCAGAAAAACACAACCTGACCCTCAGGAGCCAGGGCTGAGACCAGAGTGGTCATTTCACACCTCACTTCTCTCCCCCTGAAAGGTCACCTTTCGTCACATAGGCCACCCTGGGCCAACACCCAGAGGGCCGAGTTGGGTTTGGATGAAGTCCAAAGACTGTGTCTGTATCAGACCAGAGGGGTCAACCCAACTCGTACTTCAGGTTCTCTTGTCTCCAGGCCAGTTCATGAGAGGGTGAAATGAGGTGCCTGGCTTCAGGGGACGGGAGCAAGCGCCACCTAGTGGTGGAAGGAGGGACTGACTTGGGTGGGCATAGGGCCTTAGACCAACAGACCACCCACTTTGATTTACCTGTTTCTTAGGACTGTGAGTAAATATTATGCACTGAAAACAGTGTCTTCAGTGAGCAGGCTCCACGATACAGCTACCCTCCATTGTTAAGCCTGACAGAAATCCAGACCAGCTCTACACACCTAGGTAGTCAGCGGAGACTGACCATTGTCCCTCAGGGGTGCTTTGTAGGGAGCCAGGAACCCAGAATTCACCTGTGTTCCATCTCTGTGGAAAGCTTGAGTCCATATATGCTTGTGAACTCACATCTTGTGCATTTTGACAACTTGTTTTTCAGGACTGTCACTGAATGAGAAAAACAAGTAAGAGAAAAGGTAATTGGTATGCAGCCAGCTACATTGCAGAGTTTACAGAGAACTTCTAAGTAGATCACCTCCTACACACCCGTGAGACATTGTTCCAGGTTCACAGATGAGAAGAGTGAGGCTGAGAGATTAAATGATCATTCAGATATATCAGAGACATCTGGGGCCAGATGGAGGACCCGATGTCTGCTGGGGAACTTCATTGTTTTGTTTCTTTTCTTAAGCACTAGTTCTGCCTCAAAAATCATTCTAAGGAAGGCCAGTAATATGTTTAATTTGTTAGTCCTTAATCCAGAAAGTGAAAAGCAAATAAGTAAACACAAACTGTAGTGCTATTTGAATTACACCCCTTTTTATAAAACCAAGGAGCATTCTCAGAAAAAGCTGTTCTTCTCCTTCTGGAACCTGGACTTATTCTGGATTATTCTGGACCCTAAAGAGGATCCAAAATATTGGAAGAGCTCTGGCAGGTGTTAGTTGTGAACATAGAAGGTAAGAGTTTAAGAATTGATCTAACTCAATTCATGAGTGTCAGCCACGTAGAGAGATGGCCTCACAGGGAGACAGAGCTCAGCAGACCAGCTAGACTAGGAACAATCCTAGGCTAGCCACTGGGGGCCATTGTTCTTCTTGCCAAGAGTACATTGCAGAGCATAGCAGAAGAGATCACAGAAGAGATGGGAGTTAGTGGTGGTGCCATCGAGAAAAATGACTTCTCTTCTAAAGAGCTGCTAGGTCAGGCAGCAATGGCCAAGGATCCCAGAAGCAGGATGCATAGTGGATGGTAATCCCCCCAAAGAGTGAAATGAATAGCACATGGGGATAAGATCCCATTGGTGGCCCAGCTCCAGCCCTTACTCCTCAAATGATGGCTTCCTCCTCCTCCATGCAGTTCCATGCTTCTGAACAGAATTTCCCATGGACCTTGACTTAACCCACCTATCTCCATCATTTAGGGGCAAAAAAATGGTCACATGGGTTCTCTGTGAGTAAATGGTCTTCTATGAGGCAAGGGTTGTCAGAGACGCAGATGGAACCCTCTGCAAAGGGAACAAGTGACCTTGTCAAGCCAGGACCACAATAGAAGGTGCTACCCCTGCTGGGTCCCTGAGCACACAGACAACAGAAGGAGGCTCTCTCATAACCTGAACTCACATGTCCCTGTGAATAGTGTAGCCAGTTCCTTTGTGACGGGGGCCACAGGTATCCATCTGGTCTTTAAGTGGCTGTACCTTGCAATGAAATAACACACTAAACCAAGACCCGAAGGTCCAAAGAGAAATTGGTGAATGGAAGAGTTCAAACCTAATGCACGGTGTGGAAAGAGAAGTCGCGCTGTAACTTTCATGTTCTTCCAATGATACGACAGTTTGGTTCTTGCTATAGCCTGGATCTGGAATGTCCCCCCAAAACTCTTTTGTTGAAGACTCCACTGCAGTAGAGTTCAGGGGTGGGGCTTTGGGGAAGTGACTGGATCCTAAGTGTGAGGTGGTGAGATCTAGGTACATTAGGGCATGGTTGGGGGAAGTAGTCAATGGGGGTGTGTCCTTAGGACTATATCTTGTCCCTGGTCCCTTCCTCATTCCCTCTCTGCTTGCTAGTTACTATGAGCTGAGCAGATTGCTCCCACCACACCCTTCTTCCATGATATTCTGCCTCTGATCAGGCCCAAAGCAATGGAGCCAGCCAACCATGGACCGAATCCCCTAAAATCATGAACCCAAATAAATCTTTCCTCCTTTAATTTGTTTCTTAAATTTTGGTCACAGCAATGAAAAGCTGATCAACACAGTTCTCTTAACCATGGAACAGAAGATGGGTTTGGGGTCTTAAAAAAAGACACTCTCCTAAAATTTTTCCAAAATGTAATTATGAAACAGTGAAAGTGAAGACTGAGGCGCAGGCGTAAACTTGCTAAGACTGCTGGGAGATCATACAAGGGATCCCTGAGCTCAGTCTGCAGCAGGGGGTGAGGTGGGGTGGGCATGTGCCAGCACACACGTGTCCATGACATGTGCGAATATACCTTTGTAAACATGCTTGTGTGTGAGAAAGAGCAGGTATTGTGACAGTGTTGTGAGCATGAGTATGCATGTCTGTGTAAACACATGTGTGCGTGATTATGCGTGTTTCAGGGCAGTCTGTCCGAGGAGTGAAGGCTTTCAATTCCCAGATAAAGAGATACAGACTGAAAATTATCTATGAAGACCTCATTCTCTCAAAACTCCTTTTCCAGCTTACCTCCTATCACTCATCACCATTTTCTGAGGAAGAGATATCCAGAAATCATAACCTTGTGATGCTCTTGTGTACCTTCTCAGCCTCTGCCGGAGGGTCTGTGATGAGAGGGGGTTGTCGTTGTAACTGCTGTTCTAACTTTGACTAAAAGGTAGAATGGAATCCTCTCTGGCCTGAGAACTTTTCACACAATTGGTCCAAAGAAGTATTCAGCATCTGTCCATATTTGCATTCTGTATGCTTTGAAGAACACACATTTTGTTTTAAAAACCAGTGTAGTAAAGATTTTAAACCAGAAGATTCACTTCAGAACACTTCTCACCTCTGCACAGGAACACAGCCTTCTGGAGAACAGAAAGGGAACTTAGGGGAGGAGCTGCTGATGGGGCGGGGCTTGGGCCAGGGGCGGGGCTTGGAGGGGATGGGAAAAAAAACCCGGATCCTTCACTCCTAGCTGCTCTAGGAGTGAAGCAGCCTGCAGGACCTCAATTTCAGTCATCTGGACAAAGACTGGTCGCTTAACATTGTCTGAGGCCTCCTTAAGTTTCCGTTCAATGTCTTTGTGTTTCCTAGTTCCAATATGGATTATCTCCAAATACTGATCATCTCTGGTTCAAATGTCATAATTTTAAAAGAAGCTCATAATATTCATTTTACTTCTTTATACCTAAATGGAGAATTCAAACTACAAAAATAAATAAATACGAAGAGATTGGCTCCATTTAAACGTTTTTATAATCTGTTTAATTTTTAAGGCACACAGAGTTTATGATCACTTTAACATCTAGAAGTATTAAAAGGCACTAGTAACACCGGTAGTCTACTCATTTGCCAAGTTGACATGTCACATTACAAAACTAGATTTAAAAATCTGATTTCTAACAGCTGTGGGACAACATGGACAAAGGTGATACATCTAGACACAACCGCCATAAACTCAAGGTTGACAAAGAAAGCCGACTTCTGGGATGAGATCCCAGCATCCCGTAAGTGGGGAAAGAGTGGCCACCATATTGAAGGCTTTGTTTTTTTAATGAGACATTTTTCGCCAAATTCTAAAGTTGTGACCCTCAGTGCATTTTATTCTCTTTCAAACAAATCACCCACAGAGCAGGTGCATGCATGAAAGACGAGCATTTTAGCATCCACCACACACAACCAGCCGTACCAGAAGGGTTTTTGCAAGATGCATGTGAATGTCCGGCAACAGACCTGAAAGGACTGTGAGTATGTAAGCGGCCCTCCATTCTGTCCTCTGTGCCTGAGGCTGGGGCGCAGCAGCCCCCCCCCCACACCCACAGCTGTGATGCGTGTTGGTTACAGGGTGGTGGAAAGAAAGCCACAGACCGCCCAGGAACTCTCTGAGTCAATCATTTCCACTTCCTCCCTGACTGGACTATTTACCAGAACTGCCCAAGAGTAGTTACCATGAATTGAATCCCCTGGGTTTCCCCTGCCTGACCTCTAAATGAAATTTAGAAAGCAGAGAAAGGACAGTGACCGGGCTAGCCCCCACCACAGCATCATCACCAAAGAAGGGCCGCGTTGGAGCTTAGAGAGCACAGTCATGAGAAAGAACCAAGGTGTGCAGCGCAGGGCAGGGAGTCTCCAAGTTGCAGCTGGAATGAAGAGTCCCCGTGAAGGCACAGTCTCTGCAAGAGGGGCCGGAGCAGAAGGAGGTACTGGAAGGGAACCAAGGGCTCACATGAGCATTCTCCTACTATGGCCCTACTAGAATCAGAGGCAGCAGCACCCGGAGGTCAAGACAGTGAGGTTCATTCTTGGTAGCTGGTGACTCCACAGCCTCTATGGGTCCCCATCTCTTTAAAATCGGACCAAAAGTGTCCTCTCTAGCTCTGCAGTGTTGAATCTTTTTGTGTGTCTTAAGTCCTCTATGACTGACCATCAAGGAAAGACTTTAAAATGAACACAATACCATATAAAATGAATGAAAGTGTGTGTGACGCACATGTCTACGTGCACAGAAGACAAAATTTGAAAGATGTTCACCAATAATGTATCAGTAATGAAGTGGAGTAAAATTATAGGAGATCGTTTTTACTTCCTTCCTTATATTCTCTGATATTATCTTGAAGCATTAAAACGAGAGGGTATCATTTTTGCATTATAAAAACAGTATCTTCATCTTGAAAATACTTAATTATTAAATTAATAGTTAAGAAAAACCGACTACATATGATTATGAAAAGTATCAAAGACAAACCAAGTCTTTAAAATTTGAAAGAACTGAATCCAAATCTAATTTGCTTTGAAACTTTCAACTGCAAAGTGCATTCCCTAAATGTCACAGATTATGAGGTCAGTGAATGCCAAAGATATAAATTAATATAGACTAGGCAACTGGTGTGTTTAACAAAAGGTACTGGCATATTAAAGTTTGCCAATGAGTTGACAAATCATGAGGCCACGTATCATTTGCCATTTAGCGGGTCTGGCTCTAGACGTTACTTTGCAAAAGATGGTTATTGAGGGAAATGCATGAAAACACGCTCTTTTGGAAACCTAGCTCATTCCTCTGAGAAACAAGACAGGAAGCACCCCCGTTTCACTTCATTCTTTTTGCAACATCTGAATACGCATGTTCGATCTCCTGGTCGGCGGGACACGTATTGGTGAACTCATCCCTAGCGTAAGCATTGTCCAAGTATCTCCAGATGCCGGTCATTTCAGAAGGAAATTCAAAATCTCTGTATTTCTTGGCCACAATCTGAAAACAAAGAAGGAAATGATCAGCAAGGGGAAATCCACCAACGTAGGCCATCAAATCAGGCCATCCATTCTCTGGACGCATGTTAACTCAATTCCTGATGTCATCCCACAGTCATTGGGGCTACCCACAGCGGCACTGTGACTTTGAATAGGGGACATCTTGAGTACAGGAAAGGCAGTGGAAGTACTGAATACCAAATGGTAGCTCCTGCAGTCCTGCCCATCAAACTGCCCTGCACTCCGTTGGCCAGTTGGTTTGTCCCTGTGTATGTGACTGTGTTCTTTTCACGCATTCGGCTACTGTGTCTTTTGGTTCATAAAGATTCATGGTGAACCCTCAGTGATAGATGGCGCCAGGAGCGCTGTAAAGTGCTCTCTTTTTCCTACTTACTAAGCCTTGCTACTGCAATCCTGAACACCTGTGTGTGAATCCCACAGGTCTCCATCATTCTGCCACTGAGCAGATCATTTGTGGACCCACCAGACAGATGGGATAGATTCATGAGCAAAACAAGACACGAATCCCTCCCGATGGAGTTAATGGGTGTAAGAAAGGGCAAATGAGTGTGACCAACAGAGGAAGGGCGTGTCACACTGAGGACCCTATCAGTTTGCTCAAGCTGCCATAACAAGTACTACAAACTCGGTAGCTAAGAACAACAGAAATGTATTCTCTCACAGCCCTGGAAATCAAAACCAAGACATCAGAGGGCCCTACTCCTCTGCAGGCTCAGGGAAGGGTCTGTGCGGTTGCTCTCTTAGCTCCTGCAGTTCCGGTGGCAGCGTGACTCGGGTCTCACACAGCGTTCTCCCTGCATGCAAGTCTGTCTCAAATCCCCCCCACCTTTTAGCAAGGACATCAGTCAGATGGGAGTAGACTCCACCACTTCAGTACGACTTCATCTTAACTTATTTCTTCTGCAAAGACCCAACTGCCAAATGAGGTCAGATCCTGAGATACAGGGGCTTAGAACCCCAACATAGGAATTTGGGGAGGGGGTAGAAACAATTCAACTTGTGGCAGGGAACCAGACCTACAAAAGGCCAGTTCTGCTTTGTCATCTCTCATCCCTGGGATGTCTGAATGAGGCAAGCAAGGGATCAACCACCAATCAGATCTTCAGGACTTACTTCTGAGCCTCTGGAGACCAGCAGCCTTGGGTACGGTGTAGCAGCAAATCAGGACCAGACAACGTCAGAAGGCCTGATGTTGATGGTAAGCAATCTGTTTTCCTTTGTCCACATTTGCTTGGTTTGCTTTTCTCTACCTTTTTATTTTAACATTTCTAAGTTTGCCGAGTAGTGTTCCTCTCAGTGATGGAATCTTGTTTTCTATTTTCTGAATGTGATTCTTTGTCTTCTTTCTGTTCTGTGTGATTCATGTGTGTTTCTCCCTTTCTGGTAACTCAGAAGGTCTGCAGTTCATATTAACCCTGTCAACTTTACACGCTGTCTGTTGCCTCCTGTCAAGGACAAATGCGGGGATTCGTGTGTCTACACTTCTTTCCACTTCTACTCCCTTATCCTCCTTCCAATGACTATAACATCCAGGTTTGCTACCTTCTGACTATTCTGTTGCTATAATTGCTGTTTGGTCTTAATACAGTTTTAGAATTAAATAGGTTCTTCATCATCTGTCCTTCTATATCACACAGCTTCTCTGTTCCTAGATTCTTATTTTGATAATCATTTTATTTCACCATATAGCTATTTTATTTTATTTTTGTTTTTATTTTAGCAAGGAACTTCAGGGATCTATTCTATAATATGGAGAAAACATACCTTTGCCCACTGCCCCAGACACAACTGTAATGAGCCAGGAGCTGGACAGCAATGCCCCTTAAGGCCCATGTGGGGTTCTAAAGACAAATCAGAGCATGAAAATGCTAAGCTTTCTTCCCCATGCCATTATTTACGGAATTCACTTTTTCACTAGTAGCAGAAATTTTACTAAAAATTGGTCACTAAACTGACTTTTTGATATTTTTCCCTCTTAAATTTCTTTGCTAAATATCTTCACTGCCCAACGACTTCTGCTTCTTATTTTCTTGTGAACACTGTTAAATGGCTTAAGATTGCTTATGTTACTGAAACTAGAAGTCTAGGTAGGAATTGCAATTTGCCCAGATGTAAAATTCTTATATCATACATCCCAGTCTGACCCTTAATTCTTTACAGATGCTAACCTCTGTTTTATGATCTTTCTTATTTTTAATGTCATCAAGATATTTGAGGTCAATCTGGATTTCACCCCTCTGCAGGTCCTTGCTTTACTATTATTATGATTATGGTGATTATGACTCTGATTATCATTACTGTCTGCTACGGTTTGAATATGGTTCGGGTGTGTCATCCAAAGGTTCCTGTGTGGGAAGCGTGGGCCCTGGTAGGGAAGGATTGAGGGACCTTTAAGAGGAGGGGCCTGGTAGAAGACCATTGGGGGAACTGCCCCCAGAATAGATCAGGCAATTCTCATGTGACTCATTGGTTCTCTCAAGAAGGTTATTATAAAAGAACAAGGCTGGCCCCTCCTTGCTCTCTGGCTTCCTGTCACACCCTGTGACCTCTTCTCCTCACACATTCTCACCAGTGCTGCCTGGGGGCCTCACCAGAGCCAAGCCAAGGCCCACACCAGGCCCTAGAATCTCCAAAACGGGGAACTAAATAAACTTCTTTGGTTCCTTCATGGCCCAGCTTCAGGTATTTCCTTATAACAACGGAAAATGGAAAAAATTCAGTGCCCAGAAGGTTCTTTTGACCAATTCTCATAGCTCAATAGAGCCTCATATGTGTCTTACTGTGCTGACGTTCTGGGCTGTATTTCCCTAAACAAGGCACATAGTTTAAAGCAGAGGCGCTGGTTGTTCTTTATTAAACTAATTATCTCCTTGAAACTGCACCCCACCCCCTTTAAATTTTTCTTTTTCCATTTTCTTTCTCTGTTCTCCTGTTTCCGCTATGTGCACCTGGGAACCCTAGAACCCCCTTGGCCTCTTTTGTTCTTCTCCACTTGGTTTTGGATGACCTTCCGGACCCAGCCTCTGAATCCCTGGCCGCCTTCTGCTGCTCCCAACACGACCTTCTTCTCTGCATTGACTTTATCTGTCTTCGCGTTTTGCCGTAAGTCCTGCCAGCCTGATTTCCACCCTGCTGTGGTATAGTCTCCAACATCTTGGGTCTTGTCTTTGAGCTTTCTCTGGAAAGGCCCCCACTCTCTTTCATGTCTTGAGCCTGTAGGAAGTCTGGAATGTTCTTTCATTGACTGGAAAAGGTCTTCCTCACATGTACGCTTCTCCTCTGCCTCTTCTTCCTTTCCTCCGTACCTTCTCTTTGTCCTTTTTCCTCTCCCCTGTCGTCTCACAGGTGCACAGAGGTCCCACTTGGATTCTTCCTGGTTTTTAGTCACCTTTCATCAAGGAAGACTTACCATCTGACCACGGTGAGGCTCCTGGTATAGCACCTGCCTGGCATGGGGAAGGCCCTGGGTTCCATCCTCGGAACCAGGAAGAACTTTTTTTTAAGTGCAGAGGTTAAAAAGGAAGGTTGACAGGGCAAGTGGCAGATTGATTTGGGTGTGTGCCCTCAACCTCCAAACACTGTGCCCTGCCCTGTCCCCGAGGCACGCTGAGGTGAGCTGGGATCAGGTTAGGGCAGAGAAAGGGCACCCTCTCCTCGAAGATTAGGCAGCAGGTCACCATGGCTAAAAATGAAGCTTCAGCCACTTATAATCTCGACTGGTTTGGGGGCTTGTTTCTTTTCTCTGATCGGCAGAGACAAAGCAGAATACCACTTCCTTCTCTCCTCCTGCTCCATCTCCCCTCCAAGCTGTACCTGGCTGGGTCACAGGCTGGAAAGATGGCCCCTCCATCCGTCCTTCCACTCCTTCTCCCAGAGAGCACGATTCCAAAGGCTCCAGATGCCTGTCCCCTCTTCCCTGACCCTGAGGCAGCTCACCCTGGATGAGGTTTCTTAGTCTTCAGTGGGCGATCTGTCTTCGCTGGTCCTTTTATAAAAGATGAAGCTAATATTCTATTTTTTTATATTGTTTTTTCTGGGTTTCAGGAAGGGGAATAAATTATAAATCCCTTCGCTCTCATCTTTTACCATAATTCCCCTAGATTGATTCTCATTTCCTTTCAGAAGTACTCCATCCTGGAAGATCATTAAGCCGTTTGGGATCTTGAGTGCTAAATGGCTTTAAAGATTTTGCAGCTAGGTCTTATCCTGAGCCATGGCTGCTTTCTCTCACTCCGAAGCTCACCTCTTCTACGGAAACGTAAAGCAGTGTTTTCCACAGGCGCTCACCAAGTGGCAACTGACGCGGTTTGGGATATTCTCCTTGCCCAGGCTCCGTGTCCCTCTGCGAGCCCTCCTTACGCAGCAAACGCCAAAACGCATTCGCTGAAAGGGACTAAGTTGAAACACAGTGACATAAATAGCTGTTGGAAAGCTGTTCCCAAATTCAGCAGCTTTTAGGGGACTCAGTGGCTTCAGTTAGAGGTCAGAGACCAGGGCAGTGGCAAAGCTATCGAAAGGACCCTCCCTTGAGGGATCCGCGTCATCTCCAGACCTGCATTTGGATGGCTATCCCTCAAGCCTGACGGGTGCAAGAGAAGAGGGAAGGTAAACAGGGCAAGATAAAGAGGGCAAAGAGGCGGAAAGAAGAGATGCCGTTAGAGAGAGAGTGGCAAGGCTAGGGAGTGGAGCAGCCAGGAAGGACGCTGGTGGCCCCCGGGAACAGCGCCTCAGATCAGGCGAACCTGAAGAGTCATTCCAGGCGTCAATTAAACGCGCTGTTAGAACACAGTCTTGACTTGCGCTTCCTGTGTCTCGCCCATCTCCCCAAGGTGATGGGGTGATGCCAAGGACCTTTCTCTGCACCTGGTGGGATTGTAACCACCAAGATGCCCCAGAACAAAGCATCAGCTTCTCCCTGAGGTATCTGAGGCTACCAAGAACCCAGCAACAGAAACAATGACAAGATCAACCTCCCTAAGTGCTCGAGAGGCTGAGAGACAGCAGCCACCCAGGAGTCCAAGCCGGGGGCTCTCTGCCCAGAAACCCCGGGGGCTGCCCCTGGAAGTTCTGGTTTAGTGGGTCAGATTGGAGGACGTAAATGTCTAAAAGGCCCCCAATTTAATTCTCGTTTCTTCTAACACCGGAGAACTTAGAAGTCTTCAGATCCCAGTAACTTAGGACCCATAACCCTCCCATCGTGGGAACGCAGCACCAACCATGGCGGGGGCCAAGTCAGGGAGCTGTCTCACATCATCCACAGTGGACTGAGGTCACAGTTAAACAGCCCCAGCTTCCAGGCATCACCTCCAGGCCGCAAGCCAAGGAGACCCCCTGTTCCTCCCCAGATTCCTTCAGTGTAACTTTGCCTCAGGCCGCAAAGGTCAGGCTGTCAAGAGCAGTGAGGACAGAGGGACAGGGGCCAAGTTCACAGGTACCTCCTGGGAACATTTGGGACCTCTGTTCCTGTATCTGAAACTTGTGGCGCGGCCACCTTGAAGAGAAACGAGCTCGTTTTCAATTGAGAGTCCACATTTCAGAAGGTCGTAACTCTGGCCCAAACACAAGTCGAAACAACACACAGCAAAGCCTCCTTCAGGCATGGAGCACGGGTTTAGGGAGGAAAGCAGACCTTTATGATATGGAGCTTGGGTAAGAGGTTGCAGTCGGCCAGCGTGAGCTCATCCCCGTCCAGGAACTTCCTCCCAGAAACAGCCACCTCCTCCGTGCTGTAGGCATTGATTTCATCCGGCAGGGGACTAGTCAAGTAATTGTCCAGCTTCTTCAGGGCCCGCAACAGGTTCTTCTCATACACTGAAACAGAAAGGCAAGAAATCACTAAGATAGGCCGTGCCACGTGGTGCCACTTTTCACTAGCAATGAAGGAAGGTGGCCGTCGCCGCTCCTTCCTGACAGGGACAGCCAGGGATGGGCATGGGGATGGAGGGCCATAGAGGAGGAGGCAGTATCTGAATGACAACTCACTCCCCCTGAAGAATTACCCTGCTGCCTCCACAACTTGCAACTTCTGGAATGCATCCATTTATCAAAAAATAAAATAAAATAAGATACTCACGGAAACCCTATGTGGAGTAGGCCCCATTTAAAACCACTTCCGTGGTGCACCAGGAAACACCGGGAAGGTGTATTTTTCCCCTAATGATATCATCTCCCGGTTCCCAGCCCCTAGAAGAAGCCATCAGTGTCTTGAAACCCAGGTGTGGAGCTGAGGGTAGAGTGTTGCTTCCTCATTTCCAGACTCCCATCTCTACCCTCAGTGCCCAGGTCTGACTTGGCTGCACGGGAAGCCGCGTGGAGGTCCACGCGGAAACAGGACGGGAAGATGGGAGGTACTCACTCTCGTTGGCATCCTTCTTGGTATTTTTAATAAATGCTGAGAATTTGGCAAACACGTCATTTCCTGCTGAGTTGGATTCAGGGTGTTGGGGCCCCAGCTTAGGGTACCTTGAAAAGTTCAAAATTGGAGGAGCACAGGTAAGCAGTGTTTGAGTGAGGCTGACACACTAAGGGGAAATGGATATAAAAATGGAAACCCCTCCTTGGCTGTTTTCCTGATTTTTTTTCATTTTCAAGATTGAGAAGAAACATAAGTTGGAGGAATCACACTGGACTGAGAGTTTTGGCCCTGACAATGACCAGTCCTGGGACCAAGGGCATGGGGAGGCCTTGCTGGCCTTAACTTCCCACCTAGTCCAGTGGAGGAGATAGACTAGAAGGTTCCTTCCCTGTCCACTGCTCCGTGGTGCTTCATCCTAACTCACCCCTTGCCTGCCAGCAGCGAATCTGAGGGATGGCTAACTGCTTATTTTGGATCTAAATTCCTCCAAAGGCCCATGTTAAAGACTTGGTCTGTGGCCTGTGACACTACTGGGAGGTGGTGGAACCTTTAGGACATGGGGCTTAGTGGGGGGAGCTGGGTCACTGGGGACTTGTCCTTGAAGGGGATATTGGGACCCTGGCCCCTCCTCTTCCTCGCCCTTTGGCTCCTGGCCACCATGAGGTAAACGGGCCTCCACTGCTCCGTTTTTGCCATGATGCACTGTGCTGACCACAATCCAAAGCAGCAGGGTTCAGCAACCATGGCTCTGAAACCATGAGCCAAAATAAACCTTTTCCCATGTGACGTTGATCATCTCAAGCGTCTTGTCACAGTGATGGAAAGCTGACGAACTTCACACCATGGACACCTCCCCCCACCTCCTGCCATCCCACGTGAAGGGGCAAGCTGTGTGCACAGAGCAGTGACGCCCAAGCTACCTTAACTCAAGGTTCCTGATCTGGCCCTGTGCCTCCTGTGGCCCCTCATGACAAAAGAAGGAAGTGCCGGGGCCACAGAGAACCAAACCCGTCAATCGGGGTCAAGTGCCTGCAGGTTGTGAAGAGTGGTTTTAGGAGGCCTACCTCGGGGGAGCCAGCTTCTCCTCCAAGAACTCCTCGATCTTATTCACATCCGTCTTGACTTCACCATCAAAAATCATAAAAGGTGGGTTCGTTCCGGGAGCCAGGTTCTGCAGGTCCGCGGGTTTCCTAGGGAGAGGGAGCATCAGACCGTGCACGTAGCCTTGAGTCACTCCCTAGGCTTAGCAGTGTCCTCCCCAACTTAACAGACACATCCTTCAGAATTTTCATAAGACTGTGGGTTTGCAAAGGGGCTTCCTGGTGACGAACGCGAAGACACGCGTTAATAAATGACAGGCTGGATTTGCCCCTTCGTGGCCCCTTTCTGGATACAGAGGTGGAAGAGTTAACTTTGCCAGTGCCCTTAGCTGGGAGCAGTGCTCAGCCAGGCATCTAGAGGTACACGGCTGACCCCTATGTGGGACAGCAGGTGCCTTAGGGTCACCAACTCCCACTCCTTCCTGACGACAGCCCAACTGCTCTGAGAGATACGCTGCTTGGCCCATATCCAGGCTCTCCACTTCCGGCTCCTGCCGAGGATGGACACACCTGTGATCTCGCCCCCCCCCGGGTCCTAGGGACGTGAATACCTGTGGGGTGGCCGTGGGGGGATCAGGTTCCATTATGTCAGCAACGCAGAGGCTCATCTTACCTTTTCAGGTCCACCGTCGTCACATTGAATATAACGCCCTTTAGCCAGAGAATCATAAAGAGACGCTGAGAAAATGGGCAATTTCCAATGCTCTCACCATCGTACCCGGCCTGCACATGGAAAGAGGTCTGGATCTGAGCCAGTCTCACCGTGATAAGTGTGGACACACGGTCATCGTGAATGTTGTCAATGCTCATGACACTCTAAGCAGCCTTCTGAGGCCATTTTAACTTGGGATCTAGGGCACAGTAGAGGTGGGTGCGGGGGGCGAGGGAAGGACAGACTTTCCCTCCATCCCGCCCCCTCACCACTTCCTGCCTCCCTGGGCCTCAGAACAGCAGTTCACAGAGGGAAGAGCAGCGACAGGGGGATCTCCGTCCATTAGCAAAGGCAAAAAAGAAGGACACCCTCTTTCCCTCCGTGACGTGATCCTCTCCAAGGGAGGAACGAGCTCCTCCTTCCCCATGAGCTTGCTTTAAAGGCGAGCCTGCACCGTGCCGCCAGCTCTGCCAGTCTCCACGGAGCTCGCCCCTGGAACCAGCTGGGGATTGTGGGAGCTGGAACATCCGTGCACACGACAAAACTGGCCTCTCCCCTCTTCTGACTCATGGGGGTGGGAGACAGAGGAGGCAGGAAGCACTTGGACCAAGGAGACAGAGCATCACCCGGTTGGTCCTGAGGCGGAGGGATGTAAAACCACCCCTTCCCAGTGACCCAGGGCAGGTGACCTCCACCCACACCCCAACACAGACTCTGAAACCCGCTGAACCCCTGGGGCTCCTGCAGAAGACAAAGGCAGGTGTTGGGGAAGATGGTTGTAGGGCTTTGCGATTCCTAGTGAAAGAAGTGAGAGAACAAAAGATAACAAGGGACGTTCTGGACTCTTCTTCCCTTTCCATCTCTTCTGCCTCGCAAACCTCTGGCCTGGTCAAGGCACTAATAACACAACACGCTGCTAAAAAAGACAAGGGGCGGTGGGGGGTGGCTTGAACACACCCTTGTTTCTGCTGTGGCTTGGACATGTTTGTGCTACAGACGTTCACGTGCTGGGAGCCTGGTCCCCAGTGTGGCAGTGTTTGGAGCTGGTGTGGAACCTTTGAGAAGTGGGGCCTCGTGGAAAGTGAGGAAGTCACTGGGACACAGGCTCAGAAGGTACTAACTATCAGAATGAGTTCTCATGACAGCAAGTCAGTATAAAGACAGCAAGACCAGGCCCTCCCTGCTTCCTGGACTCTTGTCTCACCAGGTGACCTGCATGTGATGCCATCTGTCAAAGGCCCTCATCAGAGCCAAGCAGATGCCAGTGCCATGCTCACGGGACTACAGAACTGTGAGCTAAATAAGCTTCTTTTCTTTATACAGTCCCCAGCCTCAGGCATTTTGTTATTGCAACAGAAAACAGACTAATACTTCATGCCCACACCCAGCCAGCCTTTAATTTCAAAAGCCTAGCCACATTCAATACTCGAAGCCCATTTCTGCCATATACAATCAAAAGAAAGTTAAGAACACCACACCCTTACAGGTAGACAACAACAGGAAGACAGGAGGCAGCACGTGAACTGCTTGTTTGTAAAGTGAAGGAAAGAAAAAAGATGGCTCAGGAGAATTAGACAACTTCAAGAGTACCCCGGAGCTGATTCCCTGACTTTGGCGTTCGTAAGAAACCTGGAGAGGTTATTAATGACTGATCAATGGACAAAAGACCATTCATGAATGTCCCTGCAGATAAAGAGGATAAGCAGTAGACAGCACAATTTTTAAAAAACTTGATCAGCCTTCACAAGACAGGGAACCCAAGGGGCCAACGAGTACATGAAAGATTCTGAACATCATTAGGCACTGGGGCAATGCCAGCAGGAGGTGCCACTGTGCACCTGCCGGGTGGCTAGAATCTGAAGGCCTGACAACACCTACAAAAATGCAGAGTGACTGTCATTCCCATGAATGACACCACCTGGTGTCAGGTAGCACCAACTGGGGTCAGGAGTGCTACTGAGGTGAACTGTAGCTCTTACCAGAGTTAAGCACACATTAACCCTGTGACACAGTAATTCCATTCCAGAAAGAAACGAGTGCTTATGGGCACCCAAAGACACTTACATCAATGTTCTTTGCAGCTTTAGTAGAACAGCCAAAACCTGGACACGACCCATATTCCATCACAGCAAAATGAGCAGGCCAGCTGTGGCCCAGTCAGACAAGAGGATACCACGGCACAACACAAAACAACGAGCTGTCACAGCACACAGCAGTGTGTGTGGCCACCTCGCACCAGCATAACGTGGACAGGTAGAAGCAGACGCAAGAGTCCCATGTAGCTCAGGCTTGAAGTGCAAGCTCAGGGAAAGTCTTGTGAGGATGACCTCAGAACCACAGGTGCCCTAGGAAGATGGCACCCTAGGATGGTACCCTGGAGGGAGCCCTCAGGGTGGTGGAAACACTCTCCACCTGGTCCACGTGATGGCTACCAGGTGTAAGGTTGGAGTCCTTACTGAATGTTAATTTTTAAAAATGTATATTATTTTTTAAAAAAACAAGGGAATGGGATTCAGGGGGCTCTTGTACGGGGCCCAGCAATCTCAATTTTTAAGAAGCCAAGGTGATGTAATGCTGGTGGGGCCAGCATTACCAAGAGTGTGGCCGTCACCCAGGGTAATGCCAATGACGCCCAAGAGGAAGACTCCCAAAGCTTTCTCATTAGCGAAGACAGCTGCACACACACGGAGATGACAGCCAGACTTAATCCACCTGACGAGGCGCCAACAGCCCTGGACGGCGGAATTCAGAGTCCCCCAGCTCCGAGTCTGGGCTCCGCACCTCTCCACCCCTCCCACTCTCACTTTCTGGAGACAGGCATTTATTTGCCTGTTGGCCTGTTACAAGGGAGGGTCTGAGAACGCGCCAGTCTGTGGAGTGGTAGGAGCCTGACGGATGTGTATCTATCCAAGTTCTCAAGACCACTCCCTAGAGACCTGAACCTCCGCCCTGTATTGCCCACCTGAGGCCACTCCTGCCTCAGGGCCCTGCATCCTGTGGCCCTCTTGAAAGTTTCCCCCGTGTCTCCTGCTGCAGAGCGAGCCAGGGGAAGCAGAGAAGGAGCCAGCAAAACTCCCAGGGGCTTGCTGCTTGGGGGCCCTCTCCAGCTACAGCCTCCCCTGGCTCAGCAGCCTGCTTAGCTCCCCCCGGGTGGAGGCAATCAAGCCAAGCAGAAGGGGAGGGGGGAGGAAAGCACAGGGACACAGAGCCACATAGTTTGGCCAGTCCTGACTTGCTCTGCAGCTTTGAAACCTCTTCTATCTGTAATAGTTGCACTAAGCCCAGGAAAGTCTAAAATCAGTGCTGTGGAGTGGGGCGGTTGTTTCCCTCCCAAGATAACCTGTCTCCCCAGCCTTGGGAATCCTGGTAGATCTCATCCTCAGTGCAGCGAAGTCCCTGCTGAGCTCCGTGCCATCCTGCCCCGTGGTGGAGCGAGCGTCCTCCCTAAGCTCACCTTGACAAAGAGCTCTTGTCTACAAAGGGCCCCCCCTGCCCGGCCGACAAGCAGCAGCATCTGGAGAATAAGCAGAAGCACCGTTCTCTGCCTTGCCCTGTCTCAGTTCTCTCCAACTCAAGTCAGGGTTTCCTTGCAACTGTCCTCACCATTTCCTGAAGTCTGGCTGCTGCTTCTTTAGAAGGACTAGTGGGGCTGGGAGCAATCGATTCCTTAAAAAAAAAAAATAAAAGCTGCCTCTGCCATCCAACTGGAAAAACTTAGCAGGTGTTTCTGTGCTCTGTGACTGGGACAACACGCCTGGCCAGAGGGCGGGACCGTGCTCTGCGGGGATGCAGACCCCCAGCTTAGAAGTGTGATGGAAGCTTCTTCGCCTGTTCATTTTGTCTCATGTGGCCTCGGCCCTGAATTGCTCCAGCCCAGCCTGGCTAGCAAACTAAAGGCCGTCAGGCATTTTAGAAAAATTAGCTAGCTGCTGCGACTGCCAATAAAACAGGATTTACATATCCAGAGTTGCCTCATCTTAAATTGCTCTAACATTGTTTTTCCCCCCTGTCTCCGTCTGTTGTAAATGAAGGGGTTACGGGAACATGGTGGGAGTGACGAGGACGCCTTGCTGCTTAATTTTATTACTTTAATGCGCTTCAGTGCTAGGAGGTGCCAGCAGGGATAAAGGCAAAGATAGGCCATCTCCTCGGCCCATTATGGAGCAATAACGGCAGCGGAGCACCGAGGTCGCGTTCATTAACCAGAGGAGATGATGGGATAAATAGAGGCATATTAGGAGAGAGTAACTGACACTGCTGTCATCATCAGGACGCTCTATCCTGTGAAGTTTTATTTTCCAATGCTGAATCCACGCGCCCCCACCCCCACCCCCAGCTAATTGCACTCTGGACTAACATTTCTCAGCAGGGTTCTCAGCCTGCAAGGGAAGTTTCTGTATGTATACGTTTCTGATGAAATCAAATTAGGCAGTTTGAGAGATCAGAGTGTCCTCGGTTTCCAGCAAAGACCTAGGCACTTGGATAACTCAGGACTGAATGTTTGCCATTCAGTTTGGACTCTTTTGAGCATCTGCAATAGCAATTCTGCAGAGAAGAATTCTGGATGCCTCGGGCAAATTCTGAGAAACTCTGCTTGCAACCCATTGCTGCTGTGGCTTTGAGAATGTTGGGAACTCTGCCAGGTTCCAGCCTGCACCCCCCACCCCCGACAGGAGTCCCCTAAGCGTGAATGGGAAAGGTCCAAATGGCAGTGCCAAGGTCAGCAGCTGGTGCCCGTCACAGGCCCTCTCAAGATCACAGCCTCTCCCACTTATCTGCCACACCGACTCCACTCCAATTTGTGGAAAAGATGCATTTTTAATTTCCTATAAGCATCTTTTGCTTCAGGCCAACGACCTCCCTGATGAGTTCTTGGTACCGGGCACCATCCACACCACCACCTTCCACCAAAATGACCTCGTGCCCACTGCTGCCTTTGAAGGACCAAACAGACCCAGACATCCAAGCACAGAGCTGACGGGGTGGTGACCCTCAAGAGAACCTCAGCCGCCCCACAGCATCCCACCCCCTCATTTCCCCTAGTGTAGGCCACACCCACCACCTTGATCCC